AATAGAAATTTAAAAAATTAAAATTTTAAATTTATGATTAGTGTGTCAGTTTGGGTACCCACCAGGGGAGTCAGGGGGCAGCTTAAGGGATCAGTTCTCTCTTCCCACTGTGGGTTCCAGAGACCAAACTCAGGTACTCAGGTCTGCACAACAGGTGCCTGTACCTGGTGAGCCATCCCACGACCCAAATTGCATTCTTCCCCTCATCCCTCAATCTAAAACAAGCCTCACCCTCTATGCCATTTACTTGCTAGAGTGACTGGGTGGTTTTCCCATAGCACATGCTACCTGAAGACTCCTGTGACAGCTGTGGGGCTTGCTCCTCCGGCTCCCAGATTCCTAAGTGGGAAGCTAAAACTTGAGGCTTGATTAGATTTCGGAAACACACCATGTGCACGGCTCATCTCACCCTTGGTGATTTACAGAATGCAGGATTGATCAGCATGTTTAGGGCCCTTTGGTCTGATGCATTCATTTTCCACTTTCCCATCAACATTTCTCTTTGACCTAACGGTTTCAATCAGACCTATTTTAAACATCACTGATCTGTTATTGTATTAGGGTGCTGCAAAGTGGTTCTTTCCCATCAGTCTTCCTGTGTCTATTAACTGAGATTCTTCAGGAAAGAACTTTGTCATTATTCAGCAATTTAGAGAGAGAGAGAGAGAGAGAGAGAGAGAGAGAGAGAGAGAGAATGAAGAGCTGCTAGCACATGGATGAACCTTGAAAAAGTTGTGCTAGGTGACAGAAACTCACAAAGAGTACATGTCATTCACTTTCACTTATGTAAAAGGTCTGGAAAGGAAAATTCAGAGGCAGAACAGAGATGAGCGGCTGCTCAGGCTAGAGAGATGGGAATCTAGGACCTCAGCAATGCTAAGCTAACATTCTTCCACTGAGCCCCTAATCCTCCCAAACAGCACCATCAGCTGAGGATGAAGAATTCAAATGCCCAAAGACTATGGGAAGCATCTCATTCTGAGCACCGTAACATTTTCCCTTCTTCCCAGGGTGCTTAGAGTCTTCAGTGAATTCTCTCAGGCAGACAGGCTATGGACTGAAGGAGGATTTGTACAAATCTAAGAATCTGAGGGGTTGGAAACTTAACTCAGTGGTAAGGCACTTACCTAGCAAGCCTTGGGTTTGTTCTCTGTCCCCAGCACCAGAAAAGGGGAGAAAAAGGGGTGGGGGAGAAAAAGACAAAAAAACAGGGTGGGGGAGAAGTAAAATGGGCAAATGTAGACCCCTGGATACAATTTTCCAGCAGGTTCCAACTTCAGTTTCATGCTGTGGAGGAAGGGGCAGTGCCTCTGTGCCTGTGAGACGTGTTTTGTTTGTCTTTGCCAAGTACAAAATAATCTCTCTGTCCACCAGGCAAATTGGGGGGGGGGCACAGTTTATTTGGTTCAGCCCAAGATTTTTCAGGAAAACTCTGTACATTCAGCTAAAACCTCTGGAGATTAACCCAACTTTAAAATCCATTTACAAAAGGTCAGACACAGCTCAGCTTTCTATCTTCACTCTTAAATAAAATTCTTGCAATAAGCATTAGTAAATTTGTTGTGAGCAGAGAGAGCATCAGGGCCCAGTGTTCAACAAAATTAGATTTCTCAACAAAACCTTGGCCTGAATCCCTCAACTTCCAAGAGACTGTAACTTATGGCCCCAAGGCGCAGGAAGTTGAAGAGTGTATCTATTCATGTACTCAGCATCCTGCAGACCAATGCCTCCCCAGTTCCCACAGAAGGAAAGCTGAGCCTCAGAAGGTAACTTAGGTTGCAGCTGCAGTCACGAGGTGCCACTCACACCACCTCCCCGGTCTTCACTTTACCTGCAGCACCCAACAATGTGCTCTATAAAAGTGAGAAAGAAGAGGGTTCTGCTCCTTTGCACCAAGAGAAAAAAAAAAAGTCAAAACTCTTTTTTGCTTTAGATAGAGTAGCAGGGAGATTCCACTCTTGTCTACAGTAAGGTGAAGAAAATCGGGGGAAGTAGAGACAAGGTGTAATCAGAGGTGGCATGATCATCGAAGGCCATAGTCAGCCTTTCCATCCATGAATGGGGCCAAGGAACCAGGAAAGTGGGTCAGGTTGGGGTATATACTGGTTCTTTGACTTGACACAAGCTTGAGTAATCAGATGTATTACTTTTCCATTGCTGTGATAAAACACCATGACCAAAGCAACTTACAGAAGGGAGGGTTGAGTTCCAGAGGGCTAGTGTCCGTAACGGCAGGGACAGCAGGCAGCAGCTGTGGCTGTTGGAGCTGGAAGCTAAGAACTCACATCTCAAACAGGAAACAGGAAACTAGGCAAGTCACATGGCTTTTGAGACCTCAAAACCCCACCCCCATGACACAGTTCCTCCACCAGGGCCATGCTTCCTAAGGACCACCAAACAGCAGCACCAACTGGAGACCAAGTATTCAAATGAATAAGACTATGGGGGAACAGCTCATTCAACCACATTTGGTCAGAGGGAATCTCAACTGACAGAATGTCTCCATCAGATTGGCCTACAGGCAAATCTGTGGGCATTTGATTCATGATTGTTGTGGGAAGGGCCCATTATAGATCTGCCACACTTGGGCTGGTGGTACTGAGTTGCACAAGAAAGCAGGTTGAGCATGCTAGGAGAAGCTGGACAGGAAGCAGCCTTATTCCACGGCTTCTGCTTCAGCTCCTGCCTCCACGTTCCTGCCCTGACTTCCCTGCATGAAGGTGTGGCCTTGTTGGAGGAAGTGTATCACTGGAGGCGGGCTTTGGGGTTTCAAAAGAAGCTAGGCCCAGTGCCTCTCTCTTCCTGTTACCTGCAGATCAGATATAAAGCTCTCAGCTACTTATCCAGCACCATTTCCACCTGTGTGCTGTTGTGCTCCTGACATGATGTTAATGCACTAAACCTCTGAAAATGAAAGCAAGCCCCAATTAAATGTGTTCTTTTATTGAGAGAGAGAGAGAGGAGAGAGAGGGGGAGAGAGAGACAGAGAGAGAGAGATAGAGAGAGAGATAGAGAGATAGAGAGAGAGAGAGAACACTTGTTGACTTGTTCTTGTGAAGGACCAGGGTTTGATTCCCAGCACCCACATGGAGGGCTCACCACTTCCTCAGGCACCAGGCATACATGTGGTGTAAAGACATATGTACAGGGAAAGCACTTGAATGAATAAAATAAGAATCTAAAAACATTATTTTTAAAAATCTAAGGAAGAACATGATCAATCCCCACTTAAAAGCATTCCATACAATATGTAATAAATAATAGCTATATTGCATGCTATGGTTCCCAAGGCCCAGACAGCATGGACCTGCCCAGCTCCCCCTTTGTCTCACTGTCTTGTTCATGCTGCTCAGCTCCACAGTGTTTTCTGACACTCAAGCTCTAAGACAGACAAAGCTTATGTTGCCAAAGCCTTGAGTATGTACTTCACAGGGACTGAGAATGACTGGAATCTCCAAAGACTAAGACCTTACCCATGGCTTGCTGCCTGGTAAAGGGCTTCCCAGGCAAGACTGCAGATAGCCCAGATGGAAGCCAGACTAGAGCAGGAGAATCATCCTGTGCACAATTCCAACTCCACACAACCTCACCACTACCACTAAGTATGATAAATTCTGATTAGTAAAATGGTTGCTGCAGGGGTGAGAAATGTCAGCACAGGAAGCTGAGGCCTAGATCCAATGGGAAACAAGACAAAACAAACGGAACTCTAACCAAACTGCTCCTGAGTATGAAATTCATTAAAGCAAAAGCATGTTATCTCAGCTGGAGATGAGACTTAGTGAAGAGTGCTTGGCTATCTTGTGCAAGTACATGGGTGCATGGGCACACGCACACAGACTACCTCCTACTTCTTTCTAATGATTGCTCAGCACCAAGGCTTGAGGCACTTTGGGCTCTATCAACCTCTAGTCTCTATGCATGCATACATAATACATACATACATACATACATACATACATACATACATACACACACACACACACACACACACACACAGCTACACATGAGTGAACGTATATAAACACATGCATATACACCATTAAAAAAATCAATATTAGAAGTGAATCAGAGGCTTAAGTGGTATAATTAATGAACTTAAGAAACAGCCCATGGCCATTTGTAGGATTCAACTGGAGCTGGACATGGCTGCAAATATAATGAATAGTTAGGCTTAGGGGCCTTTAAGACCCTGAACTCTGCTTCTGAGCCACAAACCTATGCAGGTCTCATGCCCTTCCTCAACCCACCTAGCATGTGGTTATTCAGTCTTCAACAGAATGACTTACTTGCTCAAGGACTAAAATACAGGGCAACCCAGCCATCCTTGGGAGCTCTGAGCAGATGTTACCCAGTTAGTGCTAACAGCAAATTCTGTTAGTTCTCGCCACCACCACTCCTCTGATGTCCATTTTCTTGAAAATAAGCAGACACTGGGAGCAGGGCAAGCTGCTCCAGTTAGCACAACTAGACTCTCCTTTGCTTTCCTGGCTGCCTTGAACAAAAGGACTGATTTTCCCCCCAAACTATAATCAGAAAAATCTCATTAAAATACAAATTGAAACAACTCATTCTTGCAACACTCTCCACTACAAACTAAAATCAGTACTGCAAAAGAAATCACAGAATTCAGAGCTTTGTAGGCGCTTCATCCTCCACCATCAGCTCCATCTTCCAGTCACACTGATGCCCTGCTGGTATACTGACAGTATCCCTCTTTATCTTGGCAAAGATCACCTTCACCAAAAAGCTCTCCTGGAATGACTCCATGAACACTGGGTACAAGCACCCTTGCTATGTTTTCTTAACACCTCAATAACCACAGGGCTTCTGTAATTATAATTGACTATGAATAACAGTCAATTTATTGGATTGCAGCAAAATGTCTAAATACCCATATCAGCTTTCATAGAAGGAACTTCAAGAATTCTGGTTCTGTCCCCACTCTTGTCATCAGCTGTGTTATCCTGTTTAGCCACCCTGCAAATTGAATATCCAACTTTTCCTGCAATAGGAAAGTCATTTATTAAAAACCAAGTCTCATACAAGCATTATACACCAAACATGACCTGAAACTTATAGCTTGGGCTGTCTGGTGGCTCCTGAGTAGCCCCATGAAGCCCTACTGGAGCTGTGGCTGAAGCTGCTGCCTTCCAAATTGTCGAAGGTCTCAGAAACCAGTGGAAGTAGTATTTATGAAGTAGGAGCCAAGAGTGAACACATGAAGAGCCCTGAGGTTCTAAAGCTAAAGCCCAGGAGTCAACTGTTAATCATGGTGGGAACATTTAGCCAAATGAGAAAGTAGAGTCTGATGGGACCCTAACTGGATGCAATGTTATCCATGTAAATCATCACTCCAAAGGTTTGGATAATACTATATCTAGGACCCTCCACTACTCAAATCTGCAGATGCTCACATCTCTTAAGGGCAGAGAATTTGCATAAAACCCATACATTTTCACCTGTGGCCACACCAGCTCTAGCTTACTAAATGCCTAATATGAAGACTGTATAAGCAATTGTTATGCTGTATTATTTAAAGAGTGACAAGAAACATATACAGTCCACTACAAGTCCAATTTTTTCAAGTATTTTCCATCCACAATTGGAGAGCTAACTAGAAATATATGATATTTCAGAAAATGTCTCTTTAAAAAGATAAAATTGGGGACTTTGTATAGTTAACTCTGCTGGAGTTTCCTCAGAATTCCCATGCTAGTTTTGTCTTCAAGGCCTAATCTTCAACCACCATGTTCTCAAGTAGAACCTATTGGCACCACTTTCTCTCTCGCCCCGAGAGGGTTAAAGGAAAGGAGGACAACACTGTCCGATTACTTTATTGTAGGAGGTGAGTCAGTACTGGGTAGATGGAGACTCAAGGCAGCCGCAGCTGAAACTGTCCTGCAGGCACAGCCCATGGTACTAAAGACTTTTGTTCAACAAGTACAGAGAATCCACATTCTCATGTTTCTCCATAGTTCAGCTCTTCATGGGTCACTTTTCATTCAAGGGCTGTAGAGACCAAAAAGATGGGATTTTTCCAGCTACCAGCCGTCTTCAGGTCTCCCAGTCAGGGCATCCAGTAAACCTATTTTCCAGCTTCCTCTGGAAGATCGGAAAGCCTCTTTCGCATGGCAATACCATGCTCCCTGCTCCTGGTCCTCCTCTCTGTGTACTGGAAGGAAAAGGAAGAGAAGTGGAAACAGGTTACACTACCATCAGTTAAGCAAAATAATGGATGTTTTTACTGACGAGACTCAGCCTTTCATTCATGGAACCTGCCATTAGAGGCAGTGATCCCTTGTTCAACATAGACTTGAAACCCGCAGCAGTGATGGCCACTGCATCAAGCTCCTCCCAAACAAGTCAAGGGACATTTTTTGACAGATACATTCGGTCTCTGCTCCCAGCAGCTCCTCTGTCTAATCACTGCGGTCATTATCTTGAAAGCAGTCTGTTCAGCTGCTGAACAGTAAACTCCCCTTCTGCCTTCTTTAATCTTCAAGTAACTGATGGCCAACGAGGACCCTCTTTTCTAGGTCAAATGTTACTATTTTCTCCAAGTGTTTACAGGGAGTGGCCTTTTTCTTCTGTTGCCTGAAAAATGGCTTATCTGATAGGGCACTTTAATAGCAACACTCTATTAAAAATTCAGAACTAGAATTGAACACAATACTCAAGTCAGTGACTGGCAGATGGGTGAGGGAGCCTACTTCTGATATGTTTCTCTAAACATTATGAAAAGGAAACAGCTCTTAGCAGTCACAGCCTCCCATTGATTCCCAGGGTAATTTACAGCAGTGAACATTCCAGGATTTCTCCATCATCAACTGTCACCACACTTGATTCCCCACAAACCCGAAGCTTGTGCAAATAGCTTGTCCTCAATGCAGTTTTCACCTTGGAAGTTTGCAGCTGCAGTACCTATGTGGACATATGACCAGCGGCCATTGTTGGTTACAGGTAATAGAGCACACAGCCGCTCTTATGGAAGAGCACTTTGATTTTCTCACATGTTTATTAACCTACATTCAAAACAGAATGCTTTAATACACATGTGTTCATATGCTACAGATACACAGACAGACAGACAGATGTGTATTTTTTAAAATAAATTAATTATTCCTCCCTGGGGAAGGGGAAAGAGAAAATGAATTAAAACATGAGCATATATCAACAATGGAACATCTTTTAGGAGCCAGAGCCATGGAAAGAAAGGACACAAAAATAGAAGATTTAGTAGCATCTAAGCAAGGACTTGCCTGAATTCCTCCCCTATTCCCAAGAAGAAAAATATGAAGATTTTCAACTTTTGAACACCTCTACTTGTCTGGGGCAGAAGCCATAAACACAAAGAGCCAGGCCACACAACCATTAAGAAGTTTCAATCAATACAATTTCAAACTAAAGATTTTGGTTGAAAAACTATATAAATCTTTTTGAAGGGCAGTTTTAAAAAACTACATTTATTGCTAGACATCATGGTGCATGCCTTAATCCCAGCACTTAGGACACAGAGAAGTAGGTAGATCTCTGTGAATTTGAGGCCAGCCTGGTTTACAAAATGAATTCCAAGACAGTCAGAGCTACATAGCTCTGTTTATGTATGTGAGTGCACATATGTCATCACTCAAGTGTGGAGGCCAGAGGACAACCTTTAGTCCATTCTCTCCTTCTAAACTATGCATGTCCCAGTGATGGAATTTAGGTGGTCTACTTGGCCACAAGCACCCACCCAATGAGTCATGTCCTCAGCCCTTGAATAATAGTTTTTCAAACTGTTTTCTTCACCAAAAGGTTAGTCCAGGCTAGGTGTGATGGATCATACTGGTAATTCTGGCTGAGTCCAAAGAACTGTGAGTTCTAGGACAACTGAGCCTGCCTCTATGCTGGGTGTTTGCCACCACCACCACCAGGTGGAGCCACTCTTATGGACACAGGAACTAAGGAAAAACAGAGCAGACTCGGGACTAGAGAAAAAGATTGGACAGGACAATGTTCATAAGCTGCAGAATGAAACAACATTAAACACAGGGGAGTTTTACTAACTAGTTTTAGATTAACTTGACACAAACTAGAGTCATCAGAGAAGGGAAAGCTTCCATTGAGAAAATGTCTCCAAAAGATGGGGCTGTAGATAAACCAGTGTCAGATGATCATAAGATCCCTGTGGCTTGTTCACAACACAAAGAATCCAAGATTCTCATTAAAGATGGAAAGAGCCTACGGTTAGCCTCCTCACTTTACTTAAGGAAACTGAAGCCCAAAGACTCTTGGTTACCTACAAACCAACTAATCACTGTCACCAAAGTATATCTTTGATGCCAGGGGCTTGATTTCTTGAGGCTTGAGTTCATCCACCTTGAATTTTTCAATGAAAGCAAAGATGTCTTCTCCACTTGTATGCATGGAAGAAAGGGAGTGTGGTGGTTTGAAAGAAAACAGCCCCAAGGAGAGTGGCACTAACAGTAGGTGTGCCCTTGTTGCAGTAGGTGTGGTCTTGTTGGAGGAAGTGTGTCACTAGAGAGGCCAGCTTTGAGGTTTCATATATGCTCAAGACATGCCCAGTGAGTAAGTCCACTTCCTATTGCCTGTGAGTCAAAATGTAGAACTCTCAGCTCCCTCTCCAGCACCACGTTTGCCTGCACGCCACCATGTTCCCCACCATGATGATAATGGACTGAACCTCTGAAACCAAGCTGCCAGCTCAATTAAATGTTTCCTTTATAAGAGTTGCTGTGGTCATGGTGTTTCTTCGTAGCAATAGAAACCCTAACTAAGATAGGAGACAATGTTCTAAAGCTGTTCCCAAAGAAGGGTTCAGTACTCTTTGTTTTAAAGAGAATGCCATACAAACAAAGTTGATTTTCTGTTAGACTAAAATTATAGGAAATTTACTAATGGCAACAACATAATATTCAAAAATGTTATGCTGTTTACACAGTTCTTACCTCATTCTTCAAGCACTTTCTCATTTCCCGGTCAAGATCGTTGCAATGACCAAAAAATTTCAGAATGTTGTGCTAAAGGGGAGAAAGGAGTAAAATATTTCATCTCATAATATGCTAATGTCTCTGAAACACAGAACGTAAACAGATGCTCTATGGATATGAGGTCTATGTGTGGCTCTGTCAGTAAGCAAGTAAGAGTTAAATAAAATACCTAGGCAGGCTACGAGTCCTCCCTCCATGGCAGGAATGAGTGTTTGCAGGACAGAAACAACAACAAATGTGAATGATGAAGTGACTTGGTGGGCGGAATGCTTGTAAGCACAAGGACATGAGTTATACCCCCAGCACCCACATAAAAATTGGGTAGCCCAGGAAGGTGGGGACAGGAAGATCCTAGGGGGGGGGGTCACTGGTCGGCCACCTAGCTGAATCTGTGAGCTCCAGGTTAGTGAGAGACCTTGTCTCAAAAGCAGGGTGAAGTGATAAAGACATCAGACATTGGCCTCCACACTCATGTACACTTCACACAAACATTTCTTAGTTTAAAAAAAAAAAACAAAAGGGCAAAACACCCATACACATAAAAAATAAACACCAAAAAAATTAAAAATCTGTCTAAAGTTCAAAGTCTGCTTTGTTGGAAGAGCAAAACTAAAATATAATGTAGGTTTCAAACCCTGTTGTCAAAACTATGAATGTTGCTTGGCAGATGCCAAGCCGGTGCTAAGGGCCTGGGCTTTAGTAAAGTCAGGGGTGTTTGCACATAACAATGTTTAAGGCGGAGTGGGCAGCACAGTGATCTGCTGTAAATGCTCAACTTGTGCCTGTGATAAGCAGGTTTTTCCTTCTCTTCCTAATTATGGCTTTCATGGAACCAGACAACACATAATTAGTAAGTGACGCCTTGTGCTATTTCTCTTTCCTCCTCCACCACTCCAGGTCGACAATGAATAAATGGTCAGAGTTGTTCCAATAAACACTTAAAACAGTTCAGGATTTCCTCTTTGTTACCTAATGACCTTTTCAGATCAAGCACTTCCTGTGTTTTCCCTAAATGACTTCTGTGACAACAGGGAAAACACATCTTCACCATTTCCAATAAAAAATAAAAGATGACACTTCATAGCATAGTACTTAGTGTCTACAGCACCCCATGTGTACACACACACACACACACACACACACACACACACACACACACACACACACCACAACATGTGTGAT